GTGTCATTTTGGAAAGGCTGCAAATGGGAACATAGCCTGTGGAGGTAAGTGGAGTTCCATGGTTCTATTGGTATCTCTGGGAAACCTGACCTCCTGAGAATGCAAAAATGTTCATAACACGTTAACTCTCTACCTGAGCCTCTGTTTCCAAAGCCCTCAAATGAGGAGGCTAAGACCCATATCCCAGTGCATAACATGAACTGCCTCAAAATCCCCTGGGTAAAGCATGGGCTTTTGGAAATATAAGAATATTATTACTCAAATTTTTAATGAAACCAGAGAAGTTTGCTTGTGATTCTGCAATTTCATGTACCTGCTTTTTATAACAAATGACAAAAACATTCCACAGAGGAACAGCAGAACATTCTCTTCAATAGGGAGTGGAGAGAGGTATTTAACAACCTATCAAAACAACCATATGTCTTGCTGTCTGCCAGACTAGTAAACAAACCATAAATTTAAATGTTAACATGAGAAAAAAATGTACAATTTTTAGAATAATGGGATTCCACTGTGCCATACATCTTCTGTGCAATTATCGAAGCAGTTTCTTCTCTAAGATGACTTTTGGTGGTTGCTGGTCAAATTATACTGCTCATCTCAACTTCTTTATGTCACATTGTTCCTGAAGATGTTACCCTGGGAAGAACCTTGCTCTGAAAATTAGAGTGCTGAGTTCTCCTCACAGTTCTGTTCTTACTCTGTTGAGCAATGACCTCAGGCACATTCCATCCCCTCTCTAGGTCTCTGTACAGATTTCTCATTTGTGAAATTGATGGAGCCAGCCGTCACTAGACGAACAGTACCTGAGGAGAGGGGTGAGGATTAAGAAAGACAACACAAACTCGGGAGAAAAGAAAAGGAGAGGAGTGAGGGCCTTCTCCTTCCCACTTTATTGAGCCTCTTATATATCCTCCTTCATTACCCACAGCCTCCCTCCCTTCCTCCCCTCATGATCTCGTGACTAATTATTTTTACAGAGAAAAGGTCAAATATATCTTTACAATTCTGGGAATGTTACTTTCTTGTCCAGCAGATATTCAGATCCTTTCTATATTCGTTGTTTTCTTTAAAAGTCAACATCCTTGTTTTTGTACCAGTTTCATATCCTGGCTCATTATGTTCTTTTCTGACTCAAGAATCTCAAGGGGCTTAGGAGTCTTTCAGGGTTGTTTCAACCCTTTGCTCTCCACATCTCTCCCTTTTTTACTTATTAGATGACCGTGCCTGTCTTAGGTGAGATCTCAGGACAAAATCCCACCTTACCCATCACTGGGAAGAAAATCTTCCCTGCCTTAGGTTGGTAAGGGATTCTCCTAGTCTCAAACCCGTCATTGACTAATCGGCCTCTTACTTAGAGGTGATCAATTTTTGATAATGTAATTGAACAGCCAGTGTTAAGAACATGGATCGAACATACTGGCTGAATATGATGAAAAAAAGAAACATAAACAGAAGTCCGCCTGCCAGTAGCCCAAGGCCTGTCAGTATTTGTTTGGCAAAGAATGAGGAAGGCACTAATGTTTTTAAATGATCATAAAGAGACTGTGCCACCTGTGCAGGTGACAGACTTATTCTTCCCGCTTGTTGAATGCTCAATATCTGCTGATGGAGCTTTAATAGCTCGGAGGTTTCATTGCCATGTGACTATGCCCCTTTTAGATGGTCCTGGACCATCTGCCAGTTATAATCTGTCATATTATAAGCTAGTGAAGAGACACAGATCCAACGATATTCTGCATGGCACTGTAAATAGTTTCTATGTTTGAGAGCCTCAAGAGGGCATCCCAAATATATTACCATGTCAAAAAGAGCATTCAACTTCTCTTCCATTTTTACATCAATATCTTCTTGCAACTCTAAGCCTTGTGATACATTCATTGAAAGATTATCTACAAAAACTGCTGTCTGCACAGACTGGGATAAAGCAACCACAGCAGTAGATAAGCTAATCAAAAATGCTATAAAGGTAACAATTCCAGCTACAATCATGCCAGCCACCCTTTTTTCTCTTTTCAGTAAACCATTTAGACTCTCCAATATTTGAAGTCCTCTTTCTGCATACCATGGTTCTGAAAGATTAACTGGCAACATTACAAAAGAGGGCTGATGAATTATGAAAACATTTTGATACTCGAATTTCACACAATTTGACAATGTACAATTATCACATGTTACATTAAATTGAGTTCCATTTTCATAATCAACCTCAAAACCTCCCAATAACAGTAAGTAGGGCTGGGGCACACAAGCCGTGATATTTCCCTCCAACCCAGAGTCTGGTCCCACACCAATCCTTTTTATCCCTCCCATAGCAACCATAAGTTTCCATATCATGGTCTGAAAAGGGCCAGAAGGCACTCGCCAAAGTCCCACAGTCAACTGCTGTTCTGTGTTTGCCCCACCTTGACAATTGTCCAATTGGGCACTCCAATCCTGTAGCACTTCTTGTTGATCGGTGAAGTTATAGATGGCTGGCTGGTCCACTCTACATTTGGCCCATGGTATGGTTTAAAAGATTCTGAGGAGACAAGGGGTATAACTCCCCTTTTTTTATTTTCTGAAGCTGATGTTTAAGGGTATTATGAGCTCGTTCAACAATCCCCTGCCCCTGGGGATTATAGGGTATACCAGTTTTATGCAAAATTTGTAGATGCATGCAGAGTTGAGAAAACTGTTTACTGGTATATCCAGAGCCATTATCTGTTTTAATAATTTGGGGTAGACCGATCATGGAAAAACAACATAAACAGTGGGAGATAACATGTCTTGTAGCTTCACCTATGAGAGCAGTGGCCATAAGGAAGCCTGAAAAACTATCAATGCTGACATGAACATATTTCTGTTTTCCAAACTCAGAAATATGAGTGACATCCATCTGCCATAATTGATTAGGTTTAAGACCTCAGGGATTAACTCTATAATGAGGAATGGTAGAGAAAAGTGGACAATGAGCACACTGTTTGACAATTTGCCTAGCAGCCTCATGCGTAAGGCCGAATTGGTAGCGTAGGCTATGACTATTTTGATGATGAATGGCACGGTGCTGTTGTGCCAATTGTAGTTGTGCAGGGGCTACAATCCTAGTAGCTTTTTTATAGGATGTTATCTAAGGAAAAATATATCAGCATACAAGTGTGTCTATTATCATAAGTGGCTGGAGCATAAGAGAAGGGCAAATACCTGAATCAAAAAGTTATTACCATAAACAATATGTTGGAAGACCCATACAATTAGAGGGCATGAATACATTTTGAACACCAGAAAAGGAGCAGTAATAAATATCACAGTTACATAAAACCTTATGTT